AACTGGCTCACATGGCCAATTGTGTTTATGAAAGGTGGCCGAAGGGGATTTTCCCTTCACATTTGGCTGAAATAAGATAAAACGTTTTGCTTTGTCAAGTTCATTATTTGGCATTAGAGTTTATTCCGGAAGTGAGAGTAACTTCCGGTTGCCGTCGCTGCGCAGAAAACGTCTGTTGCTTAAGTTCCCTATTGTGTCCTCTTCCTAGCCTCCCTACAACACAAAAAGGCCTTTGCGGAGGAGAGAGTAATAGCCCAGCAATAAAGAGAAACGATAGCGTCACTAAAACAATTCCCAGTCTCACGTGCAACTGGCTCATATGGCCAATTGTGTTTATGAAAGGTTGCCGAAGGGGATTTTCCCTTCACATTGGCTGAAATAAGATAAAAAGTTTTGCTTTGTCAAGTTTATTATTTGGCGTTAGAGATTATTCCGGGAAATTGCTTGTGACGTTTTCAGAAAGCATGAATTCAATCCCGAGCTATCTGTTGGTTGTACTTGTTCTCAGCTTGACATTACTGCAAAAATGTGTCTCACGTCCACTTACACGTCGACCTCTCTGCATGGATGGAAAGTTTTATGAAGAGAATGTATTTGCCTATTTAAACTGCGGTGAAATTATGGAGCACTCATCCCACTACAAAAACTACGCTAAGTGCTGTGCAAGTGAGTAATTCGCTTGTTAGTATTTTCATGAGGGTCCCTTCTTCCTTTGTCTGTTGTATGCCTAGTGTAACGCCTGGATTTGGGAACGAAATCCTAAAGTGTGGTAATTCAAACCAATATATAAGTTGAATTACTTGTGAACGGCACATAACCAGCGGACTCTCACGGAGCGTTCCAGTTACTGTTATATGCAGTATGTAAGCCAAAAAGGTTAGAAACGCTAGCGAAGCACTTTTCTTTCGAGATATCTTGTGAAGTTATGCGGTTATGCTTTTGTTACAAAGAAAATTTGACACCCTCCATCAGAATGCGATTCGAATGATCTTCAGTTGTGTACCAAGGGAAACAATGATCGGAAGGGACTCAATCCACTCTAACAGCTATAATTTTAATTTTTCCTTAAACAGCGACGAATCCAACAAGTGCCCACTTTTCAAAAACAGCCCAGCTTTCATCAGGACCCAGCGGTCACCTCAGTGAGTCCGTTAAGGTCGAGGGACGTTTCTTCCTTCAGAGTGAAGTGTTTTGGAAGGAAGACATACTCATTGCCATGACATTTTTGCTCAGCTTCTTGTCAATTTCAGTCTCTGTCTGGACGCTGGTGCTGGTAAGCCGAAGTACATCCGCTCTAGAGCATGTGATCAAGTTCTGCGTGACAACAGAGAAGCTTTTACCCCAACTATCGCTTGAAAGTAAGTGTACTTCTTATTACACTTTGAAGTGAAGCGCGCTTGTGTGTGCGTTTCTGCTGACGTTTTCCATCCTAACCTGACTGTGACGTGCCGAGTTTCGCTCGAAAACGAGAGCCAATCAACTCTTTTTATTTCTTTTTGACATTTTCTGTTGAAGCTTCAAGTGTTTTGTCTGTTCATGTTACTACCGTGACCTTGGCATATACAATACTAGGTGTAAGAGTAGCTTCCTACACAGACGTTCTTAGGGGTTAGTCACGCGTTCCACCCCGTCTGGGTGGGATCGATGCTAGCGTAAGCAAAAAGAAGGCGGAACAACACTGCGGCTACCATCCTTTTAATACACCTCCCATGCAAGCTTTATCGCAACTGATACAATGTAATCAGAAATACAATGTGATTTTCTTTCTTCTTATCAATTTTTCCTCCCTTCAGAAGTCAAAGAATCACCAGGAAGACAAAGCCAAGTTTGACAGCAAATTGCGGTGGTTATTTGACGGTGATGACGAATTATGTTTGGGACGCCACAGAAACACCAGCTACCTGATATTTTGACCTTTTAATTGAACCATTAATCCCATGGAGTAATGAGTCGTTCATTCAATCATTTTCTCAGTGTGTGTTCCCAAAATTCGACAGCCGGGTAGAAAACGTTCGAAGATCAGTCAGTTCAGAAACTTTAGCCAAGAAAGTAAAGGAAGCAATTTCTCTATAAAACCTCGGTAGAGTGTTTCTATTCCAGGGTTCTATCCTATTTGCGAAACTGTATAATATAAAAACTTATAAAATGGTATGTAGGTATTAACAGTAGAAAAAATTAAAAATCACTGGGTTGACACAAATTAAATGGAGTTTTACCATTAAAAGCTGCATTTTTCGCAACTCATTACATTTATACGGCGAAAGAACCTTTCTTTAGCCTCATTCCTCTTTTATCAGAGTGACCAGCAGGTAATGATGTTTGGCCATTACAGAGGTGTTATTCGCAAAAGAGCTGAATCACGTCTGTCTAATGTTCTCCAGGACTGTACGTCAGAAGCGCGAATAGAAGATCCAGTTGTATCGGACAATAAAAATATGGTTTGTTTTAAAATTGAATTACACTGTACTACCAATTTAGTTAACCCTGTTAAAGGAGCAGTTCGAATTATCAACTTCCACCTCCCTAAAACGAAACAAATAATCAAACAGAAGCGTTGAACGATTTATTCAAACTGACGACTCCAAAGTTTTCCCTCCACAGACTTAGAAGTTATGGTTGTCTACCATTTACGTCATTTACCAGAAAAGAAAGATTTCCTCGGTTGGAAAGTAAATGGTATGCGCCTTCGTAGCACATTCCATTGGAAAATGTCCAAGCTGCAAATGACTCTCACGCAAAGCGCAAATAATTTTTTTTTACTTGCCCTCAGTTGAACCTGACTTCCGGTTCGGGTTCAGGTATGAAGGCCTGGAAGAAATTGTAAATTCTCCCATCCAACAGCATTTCCCACTGGAATCGAATATTTCCGAGATAAAGCGAGTCCATTCACGCTCCATACAACCATAAACTTATGGTGTACGCACACACGAAACTGACGAGTTCGGGACTTGGCGGCAGAACTGCCACGCGTCGAGGCAGCGCCCCCCAGGCCCGGGAAAACCCCGCAGGAATTAATGATGCAATCTCACGCAACAAATCCCGCCAGCCACCCGCGGCCGCCGCGCAGGGTAGAAGACATACCGTGATTGGCCATGTTTCATGTGACATCAGGGGACTCCCCTTCGCACATTAAATAATTTATGCTTAGTCAACAACTCCTTTTGGTGAGTTACAACCTATTACTAGAAATTTCCAGTCCTCTGAAAGCATGAATTTTTCATTGATGTGCTTTATGCTTTTCTGGATATTACCGATCTGCGATGCTCGCCAACCTCCGTGTAAAGATGGAAAGTTGTATGAGGAAAGCATTTTTACCTTTATCGACTGCAGCGTCTGTCTCACACAGTCCCACTACAAGAACTGCAGGACATGTTGTCCCAGTAAGTGAGAGTGTATTTACTATCTTTTATCAATATTACTCTATTGACTTAGTTTTTTTGTACCTGGTAAAATTTTCAGCGTCAGTTAAGTAAGTCATGACGTACATTTTCTCCACGGATTAGTCTAGGGCCATTTTATACAATCCAAAGGCAGTCCTATTATTTTACTTTGGGTCGTTGGATGAGGAGAGAAAGAGTCAGACAGAGGGGGGTGAATAGACGAACGGATCGGCGGATTTTGAAAATATTTTTGCCCAGATTTCGGATTCAATGCCAGATTCTAACGGATTTCAGGATCCTGCAACTGCAGTAGAATGCGGATTCATCTTTATTTTTTTGGGCCCGGATTTTGGACTTTGCGTGTAATACAAATATTTTTGCCGGATTTCGGATTCAGGGGCCCGTTTCTCGAAAGGATTCAGGGCGAAAATTTAAAAGATCGAGGTTTTGGTTTTAATAAATCATAGTTAGTGAAAAAAATGGATCGGCGGCTCTTATTTTTATATTTCGATTTGAATATTCATTTCCCCCCGGGACCGGACAGTCCGGATTTGTATCCTGTGTTGATCTGTTAAGAGAGACCCTCCGGAATTGTGTTGCTACTGTTTGCTACTGGTGTGATCAAATAAAATTTATTTTGGAACTCTTAGCACTTTGATAATGATTATATGGTGAATTTTGAGCCTCGTGAATAGATGAAAAGACTTTTTTTTTAAAGTCACTGACACTTTAAGGAGTACGCGGAATTTTTCTTACGAGCTCGTGTCACTGACTGAAAAATATCTTTCTCATCTTAACGCTTTGGTCAACATCTTTCTCAGTCCGCGGTAAGTCTTATTCAAGCCTTCCCAACTAGAAACAAATTGTTGAACTGCTGGAACTGTTTTCGTAGCTTACTATTAATAGAAGTCGAAGGATCAGGACCATCTTAGTTCATGTCATACTTTCCAGTGACGCAAATATGTCCATTCTCTAACTTTATTTTTGCAGGAGAAAGTGTAAGTTTGCTAGTTTTCAGTCAATGTTTATTGATACTGTTTCGGGGCGTCTGTTGTGCCTGGTATGCAAAAAATTTCGAGGGAAAAGTACCGGATGGAGTGATGGCATTTCGAACTTGTGCTTGCGGTTCATTGCGGGGCACTTTCCAAATATCATATGACATTTGAGCATTCCTCCATGAACTCTAACGCACAGTTATATTTTTTTTAATTGAAAACCCCAAAAAGAATTTATACGTCAATGAAAGTCACTTATTGCCCTTTCGTAATTTGTTATGTCAGCTGATAGCCGTGATTCAAACTTTAGAAAAACAAGGCAAGGTGTATAGCCAGTTGCATTGGATGAAGACATCCAAAGTTTATTTTAAACGTACTCTTAACTCTGGCAAAAAGGAACTTTATGTCATTGTCAGGCAATCATCGGACAGGATCAGGACAGCTTGACAAAAATGGTCTCCTCAGCAATTTCCGCATCAGCTCCACTTCCCCTTCCGCCCTGACTCTTTCACACCGAAAAAAACCCAAAGCAAAATAACGCCAGAATTTGTGACACGATAGATAAATGCGATGGGAATGAACGTACTCCAACTGCGTGCAACTTTTTTATTTTCTCTCCAAATAGTGACTCAAGCCAGTGCTCAATACGATCAAACGATGACGACTTTAGTTCAGTCTAGCAATCGCCCCCAATTACGACAGCATTGGAGGATGAAGAAAGCTCGGCTCCTTCCGAGAACAAATCGCGCTTTTTAACGAAAGAAACCCTCGCAGCAGTTGCAGTTGCATTTTCCTTGGGTTTAATCGCAGGCGGGATTCTGCCGCATATGTTTAAACGCTGTGTGGATTTTAGGAACCGTCGTCGTTCAAGACAATCTCCTAAACGTAAGTAACTGTCTAAATAACCCGTACAAGGAAGTGTAAATGCAGTCAGGCATCTTTACGTTGTTTTGCTTAGTCAATTAGTAACGGAACGAGAAGAAAACACGGTTCCGTAACTGTCTACTTCTTGTCCCTCTCCACTACTGATTAACTGAACCGAGAGTAGTAAGATATATACGGGTATTATCTCTCCCGGGGTGGCAGGACGTGAAGGAGACTGTGCGCCGTGAATTATGTAAATAGCCAATCACAGAGCGTGTACTATTCATACGGATAGATATGAAAAGTGTATTTTCTCGATTATCTCAGCTTAGTTCTCGTGAACATCAAACATAAGCGTATAAAAAGGAGGGGAAGGGGGCATTTCGGAAAAGGGTGGAGGTGGGGTGGGAAGCCTTAAATTCTCCCACATTTACACCCGCCACATGTAAGGTCCGGTCCGTTCACACCAAGGCTCAAAAATATTTAAAAAACAATTTTTTAGTTACACAGGGTTTAAATTTGTTTTCTTTATGAAAGCTGATTACTTCACTCTGTCGGTTGTAAATTTTATTGCAATAACGTAACATGTTTAAGTCAACTTCGTCCGGTCCCCCCAGGGCTTTTCTCGCTCCGTAGGGACGGGTAGGAGAAAACCCTTGGAACGAGGTTGGCCCAAAGGCCATGGGATCGAGGTTGTGTTAAAGTTAGTGTAATCTTGTGTAAAACCCTGTGTTCTTGTTTTTCGTTACTGTTTTTATTTTTTTAAATCCTTATTTGGCCGGTGTGAAAGGGGCATAATTTAGATGTTAACCTAATTTGCTTTAATTCCATCCCAAAGCACCACAACAGGAGACGCAGCCAAGTCTGACAGCATTGCCGTTAGTAGTGGTTGGGAGTCCTGTTAGTGCTGAGAATACAGACATGCCAGTGACCTGATGATTCTCCTGGCGGATAGCAGAATCGGACGTTTTGTGGTAGAATATCAGAAAAAAAAAATTACAATAAAGAGATTTCAGCTTATTTGGTGTGATCCGATAGGCGTATTGTGCGTCAAATTACCGGATTCTAGGCTTTTTAAAGACCTTTAAAAAAACCAAGGAAGAGTGATCCCCCCAGAAAAAATCCGAGGTCCCGACAGTGTCCGCTATAAAGGGAGTTGACTGTATTACGGGCTTACTGACACTTTTTCAGGTCCCGACATCACAATTCTTTTTGTTTTAACTTTCGTTGTAACGCCCGACTGTTACTGTTAACTTTATTTTTACTCTGAGGGAGCGCAATGTCTACTTTCATTTGCTTTTGTGTAACTGTCTTGTTTTATCGTTATTTGTATTTTGTGGTAAATCAAATAAAGTTACAAAGTTTACAAAGCTTGCCCGAGCAGCATCCTAATCTTTCACCATTCATTCAAAGCAGTACTCCATGCGTCTGTTATCATCGTCGTTGTCTTTTTGGATGGATTTATGGTTTTGTAGTGAGCGATCGATCGAAATTGTTGTCGTTATTCCTCTATTGAAAATGTTTTCTCCCACCGCACCCTGCGCGCTCTCTCTCGATATTTTTTTAAAAAAAGGGAGAACACTGACGACGCGCGGTCCCGAGGTGGTTTTTCAAAGGAGTTAAATCATGTAGTCTACTATGGAGTCGTCATTTGTGTTACTTGACAAGCCCCCCGTGAGATCTCGATCCTTTATGAGAGAGGTGGGGTTGGTCGAACAAACAACTGACTGATCACACCTGAATTGGGATTAAGACCTTGGGATAAGACTTTCATATAAAAGTGACGAGGAAGCTAGACGGATGATTACAATTTTTAAAACCTCCGAAGGAAACCAATCTGGGCGTGACTAGCCAAGGCTTTAGTTGCTGCTTGACCCCTAAATTAAAGAAGACTACACTTCAACACAGTATTGATGACGGTGTTTTTTTTTTATAAATATTTCTTTACGCACAACCTAAGCGATAGGACAAGGCTCTTGGGAGTCTCCCTCGGGAATTAGGAACCTCTATAAAAGACCAGTCTGGGATCGGGTGGCTCACTCTTTACTTGGCCCCTCAAAGGATTTTTGAAAAACAGGTAAAAAAAACCATTGACCCCTAAACCCTTCTAAAACAGGCAGCCAATTAAGAGCCCCAGTAATTTTTAATTGCTATAAGCTGAGTTAATGTCTGTTTCTTCAACACGTACACTACACTTTAAGTCCCTATTCGCCATTCAAGTCCACCCCGCCCTCTCCCCCAGGGGGCGCGAGCCAATAATGGCTTCCAAGGGAAGTCTTGAGGCACGCATTTGAAGCAAGCATTTTAGCCAGGAACGTACAAATATCCGTTCGCCATGCCTGAGAGCCTTACGCGTCAAATTTCCTGGGTCCTTCTCTCAAAATGGCAGCCTGCATGCCTGTACCTTGTTGACGTGACAGGCCTTTCGGAGATTTTCCGAGCATCGTTACTGATCCTCTGAACATGCCTAACATGTACACAAACGCTGACAAACGAGAAACTATAAGTGTTAGGTTGACAGATACATTTTAATCATTTCCTACGATCTTTTTGTTCGGGCGCACTTGGCTTTCGCTACCTATCACGACATTCATTTTAATGTCTTTGTCAGTGATACGTCTATATCGAAGATAACGGCAGACGGAAGCCCAACGAAAAAGTTTGACAAAATAGTGATGGCTTGAGTTGAGATTAAGATCTCTGCAGGGGTAGTTTTGACCCGTGGCGCATTAGGTTTCAATGATGTGAAAGGTTGCTTTGTTTCAACTGAAAACAAAACTGGCTTCCAGATGCCCATTTCCTCTTAGAGTAAGTGTAGGCCAAGAGCAAGATCGATCTTGCTGTAGATCAGTTAACGCACTAAGAGATGGCTGGCTCGGATAAAGACAGAGGAACATTCGGCGGTGTTGCGTTGGCCCTTAGTTTTACAGCCATCAGTATATCAATAGTTTGTCTCTTGCAAGTATTCTTCCTCTCTGGGCCGAATGCTCAATGTAGCTGTCCTCGAAATGCACGCGAACAGTCCCATTCGATTCCACAGGACTTGCGGCTTTTGCGTAATGCGACAGGTACAGTAAAACGGGCGAGAGGTCCACCAAAGGATATCGCAGCTAAAAAGACCCATAAAGACACTAGCAAAACAGTGAAACAACCACTGGAGGAAAAGCATGCTCGGAAACGACGAGCTACACAGAACAAGGCTACACAGACAAATACCAACACGGCTTGGGGAGGATATTTGCACAACGCTATTTTGCGGCTACAGCAGCAAATGATCGTAGTGGAGGGAAGGTAAGCGTGAATCATACTATTTTTGTGATCTCCGACGAAAACATATCGCCTGTGAATTTGTCATTCCATTTTTAATACAATTATCGTCTTGAACACAGATTTTTAGCAACAAAGAGCACAAAGCGAGTAATCTTTGTTTCTCAGTTACTGGATCTTTGTGTCCACATTTTTAATTAGATTTTTTTTTGACTTACATGCCGTATGTCTTTCCCGAAATATAGTAAAATCATCAAATAACGTCAAGCCCTGTCAAGCCTACTGCGTGATAGCAAGACCCCATCCCTCCATGCAGGGAATATGAGCCACCTAACTCAATTATAAATGGGTATCTATTTTTGTTTTTGGGTATGTTTCACTTTTAAGTCTGAAATTCCGTGCAAAAATCTCTTCCACCCTTTCATGAAATAACAATCCTCCGGCCAGCAAGAGTATGGTAAGCCACAGGTGACCCAAACTAACGTTTTGAGGAAAGGGTGTAATGTAATCTGATTACATGTTATTGGTGATGCGTGACTTTTGTGCTGACGCACTGGTGTCGCGTGTCGTTGTCGCGTTACAGGCGACCGGAGACTTAATATGTAGTACCCGTATGAGAAATAAATACTGAGATCTGCGTGAGCTAAATAACGTTAATTCCAAACTTTTTCTTCAATGAAATGAATACAAAAGACTTACCTGTGATGTATTCCACTGTATTTTTGTGTCTGTTCTTCGTCTTACTTTTTTTTTTTTGGCTTTATTGCTAACCACTGTTACACCCTTCAAAAGACGAAGTCAAGGCAGCCTGGTCATTCGATCTGGCAGGGTCCTGGACCAGTCGCAACAAGAATGCTGTTTTCGCCGAATTTCGAATCCGCTACAAATTTTTTCAGCTTCAGCCCAAGAAGGAAACCTCTTCTTCCTCTCTGGGAGATCGGCTCGAAAAAAGCTTTATAATTTCCCCTTCAATTCAGGCTACGTTGCGCCTACCAACAATTTGCATTTTCGCTTATTGAAAACTAACCTGTTTTCTCACCATCTGTCTAAGTGCAACTTTATCCTAAATTTTCACTTTCAGCGGTTTTCTTTATTATCTCTAAAACGGCTCGACAGAAATGTTTTTAAATCTCACGACATAGACTATTCACAGTCGTCTATTTTTCCGTAAGATCATCGAGATCGATAGCTTTGCGTTACGGGCTACCCATCTTGCATGAGTGTCAAAACTACCTAGGGGGCGGGGGCGGTTTGGGAGAAAGCCCTTCCCCCCCCCGCCAGCCATAATCCCCGACGCCCGCCCCCTCGGTACATTTTAAAATCAAGATAGCCATTACGGTAAGAAGACGCGGTATATCTAAACGATCTCACGAAAAAATAGGGGACTGTGAACAGTCTACTCACGACATAATCTTCATGATGTACATAACAATGTCTGAAACTTTCGTTAAGATTGGTTCTCTGTAACATAGCTTAACATCTTGAAATTTTAAGAGAAACCTAGCCTACGAACCGGCTAAAAATCCTCGTTACAGCATTCACTCTCGGTTTTGGCGTGATGCTAATTTTTCCAAATTGATGCCCATCCTACATTTTAGTATGAGTTTTATTGCATAATTATTTTGAATGTGAAACATTGACAACATTCACATTGAAATGTACTAGCCATAGAGGTATGTATGGTGGGTATTAATTTGGAAAAATTAGCATAACGCCAAAACAGTGAGTTTTGAAACACCGATTTTTGGCCGGTTTTTGGGCTAGGTTCGTCTTGAAGGTGTTATAGTAAATCAATCTTAATGAAAGTTTCAGTTTATTATATACATCATGAAGATTATGTGATGAGGATGAGATTTAAAAAGAATTCTGTCGAGTCGTTCTAGTGATATTCAGAAAAACGCTAAAACAATGCTAAAAGTCAAAATTTAGAGTAAAGTTGCACTTAGACAGATGGTGAGAAAACAGGATAGTTTTCACGATCGCAAGAACTGCGGATAATACACTAAATTTCCTTGCATCGAATGTATAAGCAGTCTTCTGCCACTACTTAGGATTTATTTGAGAACTTTTTCATGAAACCATTTACCACGGCTATTGAAAATGTAAGGTTTGAAATATGTTTACGTTTTATTTGAATTCAAACATACAGAATTTTTTACTTCTCACGGAGGTTATTTGCTAACCATCACACTATAAGTACCTGGTGTCGGATTTTCAGTAGCAGGTCTAGATCGCGCAAAATTCGGATTTTATCGAGTTTGAAGTTTTTTGTTATTGTTGTCATAGTGATATCGATTTTACTAAAAACTGTATTTTGGCAAACTTTAATTCATAGTCGATCACTGGTGAAAGGTTTATTGCGATTGGACAAAGACAAAATCACTTTTAAGGAGATTGAAAAACATCGGTATAGAATCCGAAAAACTGTATCGAAATACTTTAAAACGGTATAATAAGGTTTGGGCATTTTACCGGGGAACGTCATAAACATGACTGGCTTTGAATGTCCCTGCCGTAACGGAACAAGGCCACGCTATGTTATCATAAGTTGTTGACCCCAGGAAGTTGAGTATGTGCAGCAGTCGATTTGAATTTAAGCAAAGAAACACTGAAGAAACGCATATCAAAGTTAAATTACCCGTGGTTTTCACTGATAAACTTCGAGCTGAAATGACCATAAGAATAAATCTTCCGTTCGTGACTACCGTAGAGCTGCCTCAGTTACTAATGGACAGACCCCTGTTCTTCAAAGGGTGCCTATCTGATGGATAAATCACTACTTCCTTATCTACTGGATAGTAAGTATTCGGTGGATAGTCACGTGCACCCAAGGAGAGTATAGTTCAAAACCACTTAAACATAGCATTGTCAAACGTATGTTAGTATTTAAACGGTAGATATAGGCATATTCTTATCCCCTAAAAATTTTTCAACCTTTCGGATTTCAGTTTAGCGATCCGAAAATTATAGGGATCAAAACTTACCTTTTCGAAAATTTCAGCCAGAAAAAAGGCTCCCGAAAATTCTAGGTGACCTTTTCAGGGTAAAAATCCGTTAAAATGGGCAATTATACCATTTTTTAGATGTTCGAAAATCCTCGGAGACGCAGGCAAGCAAGCAATTTTACAACAAATGTTCCGAAAATTCTAGATCTCAAATCGTCTTCCGAAAAGATATTTTCCGAAAATTGACGTTGGGTGCCACTGGATAGTGCTAGTACATCCCTGAACTCTTAAACAACTGGGGTCTGGGTCGGCGGAGCAAGAAGCACGGGCTTGACTAAAAAGGTACTGTTTTCAAGTGGCTTGGGGTCGTAAAACACTATCCTCAATTACTACCTCGTCATAATGTGCATTTTTTCGTCGTGTTTCGTCTTGCAGGACTCAATATTTGCAGGAGCAGTACACCAAGAAAATAACCCAGGTTCCCCCTCGTGGTCCTCCTGGCTCTCCAGGAATACCGGGTAGAGATGGCTCCGATGGACGATCGGGAATGGATGGTCCTATGGGCCACCCGGGTAGAGACGGACCGCAGGGTAAAGATGGTCACCCCGGATCGCCGGGTTCAGCTGGCCCCCCAGGTGTCAATGGTCTTCCCGGTCTACAAGGACAAAAAGGTTTTAAAGGAGAAAAAGGAGAACCAGGCCAAAAAGGTTGTTTGTTAAATCTTTACATTAATTTTTCATCTTTGGAACTAAATTAAATTCTCTGTGAAAGCTGTAATTGCAATCTGTCTAAAGCAATATTCTCTCGCCCTTCTTTCTCTTCTTTTTTTTCGTGGTTTAAAGCTGTGATTCGCCGGTAGAGAGCCACAAATAAATCCACTCACGAAATAATTATGACGCTTTCTTTACCACTACCATTATTTTTTTAACCTCCCTGTGGGCAAGTTCTCCATTCGCAAGAAATCGCGATAGTAAAAAGCTACACGCGCGTGAACCGCAAGATTAGAGCATGAGATTCGGCTTCCGCTCCCGCGCATCGCTTCGCTTCCTTCTTGCCAAGTTTCTCGCAGGAAAACCAAGCCTAATCTTGTATTGCGTTTTGCAAGCACACGGAGCAGTTTCTTAATTTGGTCTTGCTTTTATTCAGGTGACAGAGGACTAACCGGATTAAAAGGAACCAGAGGAGTCGCTGGAATACCGGGAGAGAATGGTGAGCCCGGCATCCCCGGTAGGGTAGGGATCAAGGGAGATAAAGGAGAAGCTGGTGAGACTACTTGCTATGTCACGGAGAAGGGTCGGCGTTTGGAAAAACCTTGCCTTGAAGCTTCTGTTTACGACGATTCAGCTGGGGCCCAAAACACAGGCGATACAGGGGGTCTTACGTATATCCGGTGGGGAAGAACTGCATGTCCTGTGGGAGATGCCAAGATAATCTACTCAGGTAAGATACTACTCTATTCTGGGAGTCTAGAACCCATAAAGCGCGGAAAAATTATCTCGTGCTTGCAACTTGCAAACAACGCGCAGTCTTGCTTCCGATCCATCAAAGAGGTTGACTGTCTTTTTTTAAGTCTCCGTACGGATCAGGGGCACCCAACGAGAATATAGTTCAAAAGCACTTAAACATAGCGTTGTTAAACGTATTTTAGTATTTAAACGTTAGATATTTGCAGATTTTTATCCCCTAAAGGTCTTTCGTCGTTCGGGTTTTCTAGTTAAAAGCCTAGTGATCCGAAAATTATAGGGATCAAAACTTACCTCAGTTCGAAAATTTCAGCCGGAAAAAAGGCTCCCGAAAATTCTAGGTGACTTTTTTAGGGTAAAAATCCGTTAAAAATGGGCAATTATACCATTTTTTAGATGTTCGAAAATCCTAGGAGAGGCACCCAAGCAAGAAATTTTGCAACATGAACAAATGCTCCGAAAATTTTAGATCTCAAATCGTCTTCCGGACAGATATTTTCCGAAAATTGACGTTGGGTGCCCCTGATATGACGCATTCCCAAAGCGCGAAGCTTCTCGGGCAACTTCTCTAGGTATTTAGTTGGATTTGATTTTTTATAAAGTGCCAGTGCCAGTGCGACTTGATGCACCTTTATTGTCGGACAATATGAGCTACGGGCTGTCGGGAATCGCCCCCGTATTCATAAAAATCCACTACAATTCACTTGATGTAGTTTTATTCATAATAACGAATCCCAAAGTCACAGTTTTTGCAACACACTCACTCACAGATATTGTCGGCATAACAACTTGGTTTAGATAGCGTGATCTTCTCCCCTCGTCTCCCTACAATACACATGAAACCTAACCTACATTATTATAAAGTGATTGACATTTAGTATTATTTCCACGATATCAATTAAGAAACCCAGACATCTTATCAGTTATCACGGTTCACTTCGTGACTATTCCTTGAACTTACCGGAGATCATGAGCTAATTATTTATTTAGCAATCAACGTTGTCATCAACTTGAAATATAATAGACTGCTTGCAGTCGGCTTTTTCTCTTAAAATCCGTCTAGTTCTCAGCTAGCGCGATAGCAAACCGCGACATTATGTTACAACTCGCGTGCTTGGATTTCTCTTGCGGTAATTTTTCAAAGAAAAATAATAATAAAGCGAAAGGATAAAAATATACTACGAAATATGTACACACACTATTGGCCCACAATTCCCAACAGGATGAAAAAGTTGATGGATCGGCTAATATACTTCCATTCCCCAAAATAAATGCTGTAAAGCATAACAAGATTATTTTGTTCTCAAAAGGACAAGCTGCAGGTACACGTCACAAAAAGCCCCGCACTGGAGGATCACCTTTCATATGTGTACCAAACCAACCCTGGTACTTCGGCCAGGTAGATCCCAGTACTCCGCTTGCAAATGTGACCCAGGTAAGCTCCGAAGTCTTGGCTCAAGATACAACTAGGAGCACACTCCACGGAACCTACTTTTACCTTTCGTGCGTGCTATGCTTAGTGCGCAAGCGCAGTGTTCAGATCATGTTGCCTGCTCGTAAGGAGTGCTACCGGGGATGGCATCGGGAGTATGATGGATACCTGGCTGTGCAGACTAACTGGAAGGACCACAAGGACCTGATCTGCGTGGATCGTCAATCCAGGGGGCTGTTACAAGATGCTGATTATGTACGCGGGCTTTATGCGAGTTGCGAGACGTTCTCTTGTCCACCATACGTCGAATCTGAAAGGCTCCCGTGCGTTGTGTGCACCATGTGAACAGAAAACTGTTAGTACTTTCGCTTTTATCCCGTGGATGCAAAAGCGAGGACATAGTTAATTCATTTATGCACAGTATCCTTAGACTGCAAAGCAGTCGCTCTTTTGCATTGGCCGCGAAGGCGCGTAGTCGTCAAACGAAAGGTCGGGAACTAGCAAGTGAAAAATAGACAGATTCTCTCGCCCTTCCCTAGGCTCACACGCCTCGCACGCCAGTATGCACGCTCTTAGGTTTCGTGCCTTACGACTGAGCTGCAAAAAAGTGACTGACTGTTTTGCAGTATGGATTATCTATAGCCTGATATGGTAAGCAGTAACAAAGTTTGATTTTCTTTTTCGTTGTTAAGAGACCTGGAAAAGATAAGTGACTTCGAGCCTTAGCGAAGTCTTTAGACTTTATTCTTAATCTCTGGCTCTGTCTTTCAGGTTTTGTAGCAGGAAGTTAGAGAGCTAATAGTGCACGAGCGTGAGTGTTTATTTTTCCGTTGTCCACCGTGACTATTTTAACCCGTTTATATTCCTTAAAGGTTGCTCCAAAGCCTCGTGCGTACGCGTTTTTTTTAGAGAGAGTTACATGCCCTCCTCCCCATATCGAATAGGAGGGCGCATACTACTGAAGACCCTGAAAATGTCTGCGTGGAAAACTAGAGGTTATAGATAATACAGTGGCACCCAACGTCAATTTTCGGAAAATATCTGTTCGGAAGACGATTTGAGATCTATAATTTTCGGAACATTTATTGTAAAATTTCTTGCTTGCCTTCCTCTCCTAGGATTTTCGAACCTCTAAAAACTGGTATAATTGCCCATTTTTAACGGATTTTTACCTTAAAAAGGTTACCTAGAATTTTCGGGAGCCTTTTTTTTGGCTGAAATTTTCGAAAAGGTGAGTTTTGATCCCTATAATTTTCGCATAACTAGACTTTCAGCTAGGAAATCCGAACAGATGAAAAATTTTTAGGGGATAAAAATATGCCTACATCTACCGTTTAAATACTAAAATACGTTGAACAATGCTATGTTTAAGTGGTTTTAAACTATATTCTCGTTGGGTGCCCCTGATAATAGTGTTATACATAATAATGACTAATGAAATGTTCGTAATTGTTTCGAATATTTTATATTCTACTTGTTCTATTCTGATAATTTTCAATCTAAAGGTTAAGGGGTAAGACATGGTTATAAGCCCTCCCTTATAAGCCCGTCGTTATGTATCCTTATATACATTACTTTGTTATGCTCCGGTTACATTTCAAGTTAGAGTTTTGAATCAGATTTTTCTCGGAGTTAAATAAAGAACGTGTCGTTATTATCTTGTTTCGAGAGGATTTCTATTCTTGGTCTTACAAGCCTAGTTTCAAACCGAGCAGGGCTGGGAACGAGTCCATTAATTATGGGATGAGCAACTCGAAACCCACAGAGACAGAAAGAACGCATTGAGATTAGGAAAACTCTCAAGCTTGGTGTCACTCTCTTTATACCCACGATAGGGTCTTTACCCCACTGAAGAACAAACTGTAAACAGTTCGGGAGTATGACATCCTCGGAGACCCAGTGGCAGTTAGTCGGGTCGATAAAATGTTCGTGGTGAAAGTTTTCTGTAAGATTTAGACGAGCCCCTGGGCACTTACTCTTACCGAACCAGTTCCAGAGGCGTTTGAATTGCCTGCTTCTGATTGGCCAGAAAAAATCAGCGAAGAGAAGCTGCCGGGTGACTCTTGTGTTTTCTTACACTACGTAGTTTTCCTCATCGATCGCCATAGTTAAGTAAGTAAGTAAGTAAGTAAGTAAGTAATTTTATTTAACCACATATCGCATATGAGCGATAGCTCGTTTAAATGCAAAGAGATGTAAATCGGAATACTATTCTAAACTTATTACCGAAAACAAATCTAATCCAAGTGCATTATGGAAAACTCTAAACGACATAACATCTCGCAAAGAAAAATGTGCCATAAAAATTACAACGTGATAATTTACATAATCTACATGTACAAGTAATGAATAAAAATAAGAAATAGAAAAATTAAACCAACTAAAAGATAATAATAATTTAAAAAGAAAAAATATTGGTAATCAGATTGTCTATTTACAAAATTCACAGTTGCAGTCATACGATGAAGACAACTGTATGTTTTGTAAGTTTTTCCTAAAGATAGAGAGGGACTCCGACATCCTTATTTTGTCTGGTAGACTGTTCCATTGTTTGCCAGCCTGGTACGAGAAAGAATGTTGCATATAAGATGAGGTCGGTCTTGGAAGAACAACCTTAAGATGGCCCCGTACTAGGCTGTAACCATTGCTTCGCAGTAAAAACATTTCCCGAATGTAGTTCGGTGCCTGGTTATAAATGCTATTGTATACAAGTATCAGTGCTTGTTCTATGCGTCGATGTTCCAAGCTTTTGATATGTGCAGTTTTAAGTAGGTCTTCATAAGCAGTCGACTTGGAGTAGTGAAGAAGAGTCCTAAGAGCAAATGCATTGGTTGACTCTAGTTTTGCAGACAAACCTTTACTTAGACCTATGAACAATGGTGATGCGTATTCAAAGTGAGGCAGAATAAATGCTTTGTACAGTTTAATCATAATATCTGAGGGTATAAGTTTACGAATGCGACGAAGAATTGAAAGTTTTGTGTTCACTTTCCGGCAAATTTCTTTAATATGTGCTTTAAAAGAGAGTGAATTGTCGATAATTACACCAAGGAGCTTGATCTGTGGAACGTAATCCAGTTCATTGCTGTCAGTAACAAAGGGCGTTGGTAGAGTTGCTCTATTGAAGACGATGGATTGAGATTTACTATGGTTGATCGCCAGGACGTTCTTACAAAACCAGGAAACGAGTAGACCAAGGTTGTTTTGTAGATTTATTTGCAAGGTGGATGGACAAGGGCTTGAAGAATACCCCGTAGTGTCATCGGCATAGAATCTTAAGGAGCACGAAATATCTGAAAAATTCGCATCATTCATGTATATATTGAAGAGAAGGGGGCCCAAGATTGAACCTTGAGGAACTCCACACTTCATAATTTGCCAATCTGACAGGTTACCGTCTATCTTGACATGTTGCTTTCGGTCAGTCAAGTAAGAACGTAGAAGTTGTAGGGCTTTTTCAGTTACACCGTACGCTGACAGCTTTGCAAGAAGCAAATTATGGTTAACAGAGTCAAATGCTTTGGAGAGGTCTATGGTAATTGCTGCAGAGTGCTCGCTAGAGTCTAAATTTGCTCTAATGTCTTCGCATGTTTTGAGGAGGGCTGTTGTACATGAATGTCCTTTCAGAAAACCAGATAAATTTCCGCTGAGGAAGTGAAGGGAAAACTCGTATAGCTGATCAAAGATAACTCTTTCGGCTATTTTTGAAACAGCCGATAACACAGATAGTGCGTTCAACGGGGAATGTTTCTCGGGGAAAGTTTCAGAACAAAATGTTAACAACCTGCAAATATTACAACTTTCAGCACGGCTACAAGAAGCAAACACTCTCCGATGAATTTTTAAGGCGGATCTTTCCAAGGTATCGTAAACCTTTATTGCTGATACGATACGCTATACATTACTTTCACTTTATACACCTTAATTTGCTCACATTGTCTAGTATACAACGCCAAGCTGACATTCTAGATGTCAATTTTCGTTGCACGACTTCTGAAACTTTCTACAGCGTGAAAATTTCCGTTGCACGGGCCAGGCAACTACGTCGATTGATCGTGGGAAATGCCAGCTAGCTGCAGTGCCTTCTTCTTGCTTTCGCTCCAAACTCCTTTCGAAACTTTTAAGCTTAAAAGCTTACAGCAGTTGACCGTACGAATTCGGCCGAAGTTGATAGCAGTGTTAACCAGCAAGCGCTTGAAGAAGGCTTGTCTTTGTTTCCGGTGGTACAGTTCAAAGCGAAGCAAAGATTTATTATTGAGAAGATTGTGGAAAGAAGAGATGTTTTTGGCAATTGATAGAAGAGTGTAACCTTCCAAATGTTGCCTATAAGCTTGGGGGTTTAAAAATCGTTAGATGCTAAAGGTTATGAATTCCCTAGTAATCCACTGGTCATAGTGATTTTACCTCTCATGTCAATTATTGAGGACCAGGTAAAGTACTCGAGGTCACTAGAAATTCACGCCACTTACTTAGGGGAAAGTAAAACGAAAGATCGAGAAATATTGAATGGATAGGGAGCGTTTTCTTTGTTGTACGGAAGCCCGAAATCATTAACTGAGGGACAAGAAATTCAGGGCAATGTTCTCTATGGAGTTTTACCAGAAGAATCCCGTTGCAGGTACGTACAGCTGTTCATTGGTAAGTATGCTGATTTGTTTACTAGGAAGGGTGCTGTACTGAATTCATTGTGGGGGGTTCTGAAGGAGTAAAATGGAATGTTGTTGCTCTGGGAAAATGGGATTTAAGTCACTGGCAGGGGGTAATCTATCACTGAGAATGGGAAAAAATGGGAATTGAGGGTTAAACAGTTTCAATGGGATTGATATCCCCCCCTTCAGGACCCTCATTATACTTAACAGGAGATCTGGCTTTTATTCAAGGATGCCCAGTAATCTTATGTCTAAAAGCTGACAGACACTTCACAAGAATTATCATGTTTTTTGTCACCATTTAATGACAATTGAAAGCTGATGAAGTAAGCCTTGTGACTGCTTAAGATAATAGTGCAATTGAACATTTATATAATTATAAATGGGAAAACATCCCATAATACAGAAGTACAGATGCCATTACATTAATTTTATTTTTAAGCTGTTGAGATTTCTTTTACTTTATCATTATTGTAGTTCACATGTCTATTTGAGTTATGTAAATTCTAGGGAGCTGTAATATTTTATTTTATTTTAATTTGTTATAAAACGTTTACTCTGGGGCATTTGTTGGTGATTCTTTCGCTCCCAAAGGGCTTGTTTTACTAGGTGGCCGACAGGTATACCTGACTATATTATTTGAGAATGGTCTAGAAAAATGCGGTGGGCATTATATTCGGGAGCACGTTATACACAAGTAAATATGGTATACCTACACATAACATACAACTGTTTTCCAACACTCTTTGAAAAAGGGAACTGTGCTGAAATTGTCACTTACTGTTTTCAATAATTCTTAAAGCCTTTCTTCTTTTAGATTTTATTTAGTGCACAACCTGCAGAAGAGAAAAAAATCCTTCCTTTTTTGATGACAGTAATGAAAACAGAACCATTCTAAGCCACTAATGTTACGACATCAGTGCCAAAGACTGTTAGTCTGCTTAAAGAAATCAAGATGATCCGAGACAGGAATTTCAAGAATCAAATCTTCACTGCTTGTATTCTAGAATTTGCATTCTCTGATTGTCTTCTACAGGAAACAATAATTGATAATTGTAATAAATGATGTTCTGTGGAAAGTATTTTAGAGACACTGTGTGGTATGGTGACCATACAATGAAGATTTTTATCCTTCTGAAGAAGGTATTTAAAGATTTAAAAATAATCAGCAGTGAAGAATATTATTGTCAGATGAGGAGAATTATGATAGAGAAATTATGAAATATCAAACAAATGCACCAAAGGAAAATTGTTTATATTGCAGCATTATTCTTTCAAAATAAGTCCAATGTTGTACCATCAATAGCAAGGGAGTTAAAACAATGGCATTGTGGATGTGTTTGAGGGGGTCAGTAAGGGGAAACATCAAGCCAATCATAGATAAATAGTTTGGCAAAAAATCACATATTACCGGTATGTGAAATTACCTTTACACATGTATTTGTTAAAAGATATCTTATAATAAAAATTCATTTCTACCATATTAGCCATAATTCTAATCACAGTGAAGATTAACCCAGGTTCTCTTATGCGGTTTAGTAAGCCAGAGACCCAGGTCCTTGAAATCAAGAGGTGAAGTTGGATCTTTGGAAAGTGTACCTATTCCTTGATCTCTTCTCCCTGGAATTTCCTTAAGAGTGTTCACTTCTTGTAAAGTTTTAGGAACTACAAAACTA